TTCTGCCTTTCCTTACCAAATCCTACTCTTCTTCCACACCATGATCTCCAGTCTCTTGATCCCTCAATTCTCTCCTAGGCCATCTCCCCTGAACTACTCCCTCTCTCCTTTTTCCCTTGGTGAACCAATTTAATTTTGTTCTCTTCTCTTGAATCTCTAGCCCCCTTATCATTTCACCAATTGCACCCTGCCAAGCCTTAGCTCACTGCTATTAAGCCTTCTGTCTTACACATACGCAGACACACACATGCACATACACATGCCACTGAAAGGTGAATAAAATCACTCAACCCTTCTAATTGAGTGCATTACGAATGTCTGTTACAGTGCCTCAACTGGGCCCTCACTGGGTGATCTCAGCAGCTCCCATGGAATTAATTACCATCTCTAAGCTGATGATTCTCAAACTTACCTATCCTGCCCTAATCTTTCTGTTGACCTCCATTGCTGCATCTCCACCTGCCTTACAGACATCTTGAACTGGATGTCCAGTAGATATCTTAAACTCAATATGTCCCAAACTGAGCTCATTGTCTTTCTCTCAAAACTCCCCCCTCCCCCCCCCCAGCTTCTGTATTACTGTGGAGGGCAACACCATCCTCCCAGCCCCTCAGGTTCTCAACCTAGGTGTCATTCTGAACTCTTCCCTCTCTATCAACACCCCCCCCATGTCCAATATGTTGCCAAGGCCTATTTATTTTACCTTCATAACATCTCTTGAAAATGCCCCTTTCTCTCCTTTGATACTGCCACCCCTCTGGCACAGACCCTCATTACCTCATGCCTGCCACAAGTGTCTCTCCACTCCAAACCATCCTTCAAAGTGATTTTCCTAAAGCACAGGTCTGACGATGCCACATCGCTATGCTGTTAATTTCTGTGGCTCCCTATGGCCTCCAGGATCAAATACAAAATGTTTTGTTTGGCATTCAAAGTCCTCCTTTTCCCTGTCTTCTTCTACCTTCCTTCCCCACCATGTATTCTTCAGTCCAGTGATGCTGGCTCTTGGCTCTTGGCTATTCTACAAACAAGCCCCTCCATCTCTGGGCTCTGGCCATTCTCTCTGGCTGTCCCCCAGGCCTGGAACACTCTCCCTCCTCCTCTCTGAGCACTGACCTCTCTGGCTTCTTTTAAATCCCATCTCCAATCCCGCCTTCTGCCGGAAGCCTTCCCCAGCCCTCTTCCTTCCAGGGCCTTCCCTCTATTCAGGATTTCCTATTTGTCCCACACAGAGCTCGTTTGTACATATCATCTCCCTGTTAGACTATGAGCTCTTTGAGGGCAGGGACGGTCTTTTGCCTCTTTTTGTGTCTCCAGGGCTTAGCACAGCGCCAGGCAGTATCAGGTGCTTAATAAATGTTTATTGACTGACTGACTGACTGACTGACCTTACCCCGGCATCTTCTCCCATTCAGTGACCTCGGCTCCCTGGATGTTCTGCAAACAAGCCCCTCCATCTCTTGGGTCCCAGCATTCTCTCTGGCTGTCCCCCAGTACTGGAATGTCCTCCCTCCTCATCTCTGCCTCCTGGCTTCTCTGGCTTCCTTCAAGCCCCAGCTAAAAGTCCCACCTTCTACAGGAAGCCTTTCCTGGTTCCTTTTAATGCATGTGCATTCCCTCTGGTGAGCACCTCCAAGTTATCCTGAATAGAGCTTGTTTGTATATTTTCTCCCCCAATTAGATTATAAGCCCCCTGAGAGCAGGGACTGTTTTTTGCCTTTCATGCCTCCAGCACTTAACACAGGGCCTACACATAGTAAGTGTTTAATAAATGTTTGTTGACTCACTGACTGGGGATGGAAAGATGACAGATGATAGGCGGCCCCTATCTTCTGGGTGCTGCCCACCTCTGAGGGAAGGCAGAGCTCAGGCTTCTTCCCTGCCCCCATTGGCAGAATCGAAGGAAAATAGAACAGGGGCACCCATAGTGGGGGGGGGGCCGCAACACATCCTTGAATGGGAGTAGCAGTTCAGAGACCCATGAGCCTGAGCTGAATCTTCTCAGAAGGCAAGGAAGCTGATGCCAGGCACCAAGGGAGTTACAGGGCCTTGTGGGAATGCCTTTCCAGGGACGCTGGAGAGGGCAGCATAGGATCAGAGAACAGGAAATGGCTTGTTTGGGCTGGATCACAAGAGTAGCAATGGGAAGGAATCAGGCTAGAAAGGAAGCTGAGAGCCAGACCAGGGAGAAACTCCCATGGCAGGACCCAAAGCTGAAGGCTTGGGAGGCCAGAATGGCCCAGCCATCCCTGGGCCTTAGTTCTGCTTTTGTGCTTTTTTCTATGACAAGAATTTCAGCTGTCAGGTGAGGAAATGTTTCCATTGGAGTCAAAGATGGGACTGTTCTTCTCCCTTCCTGTGGGTGGGGGTGGAGGACAATGAGAGGGCTACGGGAAAACCAGCAACCCAACATGGTCTCAGCTGTCTCCCAGATGGGGATTTGTTTCTAAAATAAGGAAAGACTTCTTACTCATTATGATGCCATAGATGTTACATTAACAGAGGCCATCGAATCCAACTATTTTAAAGAAGAGGAAACTGAAGGCTGGAGAGAAGGGAAGTGACTTGGCCAAGGTCACACTGGCTATTTATTTATTATTTATTTATTTATTTAATTGGACTCCTTGCTTTTCAGCAAATCTAGAAGGATAGTCTCAGAGAAGAAACTACTTTCCCTAAGCTGGGTGACCAACACTCAAATTATCTGCCATGAACAATGGCACCTCACCCATTTCCCTCTATTGTGATAACCAGCCTCTCAATTCTTCGGGCCTGTTCCTAGTTCTATACCAGTTCATGATCAAATGGCACAAGACTAAATGTCTCACTCACACACACACACACTCACACACACACACACACACACACACACACACACACACACAGAGGTTCATGCGCCATTGGAGAATGAGAAATACTCCTGGTCCAAAAGCCTTTCTGTCAATTTTCCAATCAGAGCTGTGGGATTGGTCTCCTGGAAGAGAAAGGGAATTTCCAGACTTCTGCTCTGGGAGCAGACCAGACAAATGTTTTTCTGACTGAGAGGGTTAAACGCTTAAAGAATCCTGAAGATACTTTCTCTCTGAGAGATGGGTTTCAATATGGCCTCCCCTAGGAGATAGTATAGAAGAAAGGAAAGAGGGACTCTCGGAAGATGGAAGAGCTTTCCCAAGCTCCCTTGTTTCAGCTGATTGGACAAACTCTTACCTTCAGGATGCCTGGGACTTTAATAAAAGGGGCAGAGTAGTTCTTAATGGAATTGAAAAGCCAAGTCATTCCTGAGGTTCCTGAACATGGAGCTCTTGGTGTTCTCAAGAGAGTTCTGTGAGCAAGACCCTAAAAGGGTCCAGAGACAGTCCCTGAGAAGGGATTAGGAGGGACCTTTGCCATTCAGGAGAGGAACCTCCAAGAGCTGTTGATAACCTAATTGATGAATTAAGGTGCACCATGCTGGTTTAAGTATGGCAACCTATAACTAGGTGAGTAGAGTGTAGGCTGGCTCTGAGAGCCATCATTCATCATTCATCAATGAAAGAGTTTCCCATCCTGCCCAATGTCTGAAAACACCCTCGTCCCAACCCCCCAGCTCCCCCCACATAGAGCTAGAGGCCCTGGTTTAGAATCTGGGTCTTGGGGCAGCTAGGTGGCTCAGTGGATAGAGCTCTGGCCTTGGAGTCAGGAGGACCTGAGTTCAAATCTGGCCTCAGACACTTGACACTAACTAGCTGTGTGACCCTGGGCAAGTCACTTAACCCCAATTGCCTCACCAAAAAGAAAAAAAAAATAGAATCCAGGTCCAGCTGCCTACCACCTAGGTGCCCTTGGCCAAATCACCTCCTCTTTGGGATCCCTCCTACCACTAAAATCCCATTACCTTAAGGAGGAGAAAAGTCTGTGAACAATAAAAACACACAGGGAATCTTCCTTGGAACAAGGTACTTTATAATTATGATCTCACACCAACTCTGGGAGGCAGGTGTTCTTATTATCCCCATCTTACGGAAGAGGAGCCTGAGGCAAACCAAGTGAAGTGACTTGCCCAGGGTGACACTGCTAGTACCTTCTGTGGCCAGATTTGGACTTGCTTTCTTGACTCTGGGCCTAGCAGTCTATCCACTCCCTGTGCTATCTAACTGCCTGTGACAACTGGCCTTACCTTTTTTCCTTATATTTAGAAGGTTAAGGAATGCAAACGAAGGTTTGAGATCTCTCCCAAACCTTACTCAGAAGGCAAAAGAAAGAGCCTTCCATTCGGAGGAAATGGTCCTGCTTTCAAATTCTGCTTTTACCATTTACTACCAAAGAGCAAGTCATTCACCCCCCTGGGCCTCAGTTTCCTCATCTGTAAAATGAGTCGGGTGGGAAGAGGATTAGACTAGCTGGTCTCTGAGGTCCCTTCCAACACTAGAGCCAACCTCCACGAACCTTGCCCCAGGATGTAGGGAGAGAGAGACCAGACTTCCTCTGGTTGCCTGAGGCTTTGAGGAGGAAAGTATGAAGGGGAATTAGCCTAGGGGTGGGTGGGATCTCTAAAGTGCTTCCTTGAAGTATGAAGTAGGCAGAGAATCAGAGAAAAGACACAGCCAGCTACAGTCTGCCAGGTATGGGAGCTGTACTTGAAGAGGGGGGTGGCTTTGTCTCTGCAGGGACTGCTGGTTCAAGGGTGCAAGGTGGGGCGTTCAGGACCTGAGCTAAGGGAAGCCTGGGAAGGCTGGCTGGCCTGAGGCCAGCCTTCCCAAAGAGGCCCCTGTCTGGCTAGGCAGACGTCTCCAGACCAGAGGGTTCCATTCTTTGAGTCCTCCAAAGGCAAGTAGGAGGCTCCCGGGGTTCTGCAGGAGCGGGAGGGGTTTCCCCTCTTTACAGCTTCTGCTGGTTAAAGAAGCATTTTGGCAGCCTCGCTCCTTTCCTCATCAACTGAGGCAAAGGCAAAGCCGGCTCAGCTGGGACAAGGCTGCGGTTGTAGAGGAAAGAACTGGACAAATACACAAGTCACAGCCACATTTACTGTAAAATCCTGTTTAATGTGTAACATTGCAGGCCCAGGCCCGGGCTTCTAGAGTCAAAGGTAGTGCTGACCAATCCCCACCCCAAGCTGATCAGATGGAATCACAGCCTTGTTCTTTTCAGCCACCCGAGCCCTTCCCAGGTGCCAGCAACAGCCCCCACCCCACTGGCAGGATCCCCAAATGTTGGCAGGGTTAAGGTTAGTGTCATCAGTGGAAGTGTTGGCAAAGCCTCCCCCCCAAAAAAAAAATACCCAGTGGTCCCAGGGAGAGGAGTAGGAATTAGAAAGGGGGAGAAACAGCAAGAACTACACCCTCCTTTGCTCCCTTAAGCTTGGGGAGGAGGGGGCAAGATCTGTCCGTCCCCCCCACCCCATTCCTCACCCCCACCTGCTTTCTCCTTCCCTACCCCCACTCAGAGGGCAATGGGTGGGTGCTTGGGCTGTGGCCGGCCTGGCAGGCTGAGGGCACTAAGAGGGGCTGGCGGTGGGTGTGGCACCGGCTGTGCCCTCAACAGGCAGAACAGCGGTCGCCCTTCTCGGCCAGGCCAGTCCCGCTGCCAGGGCTGCGCCGCAGGATGTCTTTGAGGGAGCCGTCCTGGTCACTAAGCAGCTTGTTGATTTCATTCTGTTTGGACTCGTGGGACAGTCGGTGGCCGAATCCAGAGCCCTTACGTGAGGGGGGGTTGGAGCGGCGCTGGGCACGCCGGGCACAGGCCCGGACGATGAGGTACACCACCTCAGCCACGTTGAGCACGATGCAGATCCCTGAGGCAGCGAGCATGAAGACAGTGAAGACGGTCTTCTCGGTGGGCCGGGACACGAAGCAGTCTACCACATTGGGGCAAGGGTAGCTGTCGCACTTGACCAGACGCACCATGGCATAGCCTGGGTAGAGCAGGTAGAAGACATACATGAAGACGGCCTCGAAGAGCAGGCGGAAGAGCACGCTGATGACATAGGTCCACCACAGCGTGCCCGAGATGTGCACCTTGTGCCGTTTGACCTCCTCCAGGTGCAGCGGGTCCCCATGGCCCTCCAGCCGCAGCAGCTTCTTCTCCACGTGCTGCTGGTGGGCCACGTGCATGGCCACGAGCAGGGCTGGTGTGGACACCAGGATGAGCTGCAGGGACCACAGGCGCACGTGGGAAACAGGGAAGAAGTGGTCGTAGCACACGCTGTTACACCCCGGCTGCAGGGTGTTGCAGATGAAGGAGGACTTCTCGTCACCCCACACGCTCTCGGCAGCCACCACCAGCACCATGATGCGGAAGATAAAGATGACGGAGAGCCAGACGCGCCCAATGGCCGTGGAGTGCCGGTTCACGCCGCTGAGTAAGGCGTACAGGCCTGTCCAGTTCATCTTGCCTCACTTGCACCTGGAAAGACAGCAGCCGCAGTGGGGCTGTGAGCCCTGCCCCCCCCCCCACTCCCACAACAGTCTGAGCAAGTCACTTCCCCTCTCTGGGTTGCCTCAGTTTCCTTCTCTGCCAATTGGGTTAAGTGACCTTGAAATCCTTGATGATTCTGCCACCTCAAGTCTGCCCTCTTCAAGGAGCCAGAGGCTGTCTGGAAAAGTGAGCTTCCCGCAGGCCTTCCCACCATCTCACCTCCTTTCCCTCCTTTCCTTTGTCCCCCCTTCCTCTCTCCCCTTCCCCGTTTCTGATCTCTACTTAGCTCTCCAGGCTCCATCCCCCCAGGGCAGCCCCTCTCCCTCACACGCCACTCCCACTTTTCTGCCAGGTTTCTGATCCCCATCCACACCACGTATTACCTTGGGGAGTGCCTATCCCGGAGGCCACCCGGACAGGTTCCCTATGGTTTCATACCCGTGCTGGGGGAGTGATCCCCGGGTCCGCGCCTGCGTCCCAATTCCTCACTGCCCGGTGCTCGGGAGTCATATGCTGCCTTATACCCAGCATGTACACAATAGGAGCTTTGTGGGGCTCTGAACAACGCCCTTTAGAATTCAGATCAAACGCCCTGACTTCCGCCCACCCTGGACACAGAGCACTTGTGTCCCAGAGCCGGACACCCAGCCTGCACCCACCTGTTCTGTGCCCGCCCGGTCCATCCCCGCACCCGCCATGAAGCCAGAAGAATGGGAGGGGGGAGGGAAGGGAGAAGCAGAAGACCAAGAGGCAGAGACAGAGGCTGGGGGGGTGGGGGGGCAGGAACCCCTAACCCCATTACCAGGATCCCCTTGGCTCTCTCTCTTGGTCCTCAGTGGCAGTCTTAAGCAACCCCGAATTTCCCCTAGGCAGGGCAAAGTCAGGTCTTCTCCCTCTCTGATACATCACTGGGGTCCCCAAAGCTCCCTTTCTTTCCCTACTTCTCTCAAGGAAGCTGGAAGACCCTATGGTCCCATACTGAGCCTTTAGGATCACAGCACCACAGATGTAGAAAGAACTCAGAAGGGCTCCTGTCTTACAGATGGAGAAACTAAGGCCACAGGCATTCAGGGACTTACCAAGGTCAGTGTGGTAGGTAGTGGCAGAGCCCAAAGTGGGACCACTCTTCCCCTCTGAAAAGCTGCCTGGGGAGGCAGAGGACAGAGGGCAAAAAAGGCAACCTGGTGGTCTCTCCTGCCCTCCCCCCCACCCCCAAGCTTCTGTCGATGAGCAGTCTCTCGGGTAGCTTGGGAACACCCAGCCTGGGCTCCCAGTCAGCTTGTAGACCTGAAATGTCTGCCCTAGATAAAAGAACAGCCTGTTCTGCCCCTACCTGTCTGTTGCAACCTCAGGTCAGTCTCTGGAGGGCACAGACTCCCCCCAGGCCCCTGACACAAGCTCTGTTCATCCTGTCCCTTTACTGTTAGTGTGAGTCAGCAGCTGAGGACTCTGGGTAAGCCAGAAATGGGGGTGAGGGGCCACTAGAAAATAAACTTCCCCCCACCCCCATCAGGCCCTCGGTAGGGACCTGTGCCCAGTTCTGGTCTCCACAATTGGAGAAGGATTCAAGGAGAGGCCTCAGATCTCTGGGGAAAGAAGTTAGAGTCATTTAGCCTAAGAGAGTGAGCTCAGAGGACCTGGGCCCAAACCGGTTCCTGGTTCCAACTGTCACTTCCAAGCTGTGTGCAATATTACTTAAAGACCATAGAGAACTGACCTCAGAGGCAGGTTCAAGTCCTGTCTCTAGTACATCCTGGCTGTATGACCCTGGACGAGACAACTCTAGACACCAGGCTCCCCCCTCCCCAGGTTCAGAGAAAAAAATTATCAGTCCTAACCAAACAATACATATCACCTAACTTGACTACCAGGCAAGAAATTTGGAGTCTCTGCTGTTCCATAGATAATTTTCTAGTCTAGCATGACTTTTTTTTTTTAATTTACATTATGGGCCCCTTGGAAGGCACTGTGATATAGTCGGTAAAGGGTAGCCTTGGTTTCAGGAATCCTGAGGCTCAAATTCTGCCTCAAACATACACTACTTATGTGACCCTGGGCAAGCCACCAGCCCTCAAGGGGAGCTAAAAGTTTCGGCAGTACACAAGTCACAGGCGAATTGCTTGTCTACATTAGTGCAGGGAATTTCCACACTGAGTTCTCCCCATACAGATGGAACTCACAAGTCCAGACATCATCACTGTCGCCACGGTTAACAATCTGTCTAGTATGAATGGAGTCTGAACATATACTTTTCAATTACAAGTGTGCTTTCTGCCTTGCGAAGAGAAATTGGCCCAACCTTTTTGGCACCACAGTTCAGTTTTTCCTTCCTGCTATGTGGGGAAGTTGGGGGGGGGGGTTGGGAGAGAGAGCAGGGTGTCATCTTGTTGGATCCCTTGTTCCATTCAGAGTCAGAGGACCCCAGTCATGAAGCAAGAAGGAGAAAAGTGAGGCCCAGAGTAGAGCAGAGTCAGCAGCAGAGCTGGGAATCTCTGGTTTTGTGTTTGAGGTTCTAAGTGTCTCAGTGTGTGGCTTTTCCTATTCGCCTAATTGTCTTGCTGGGGGACATTTCGAGAGTCCGTGAAGCTTTGCAAAACACTTTGATCCTCACAACAACCCAGAGGTAGATGCTGTTATTATCCCCATTTTACCGATAAGGAAAATGAGATAGACAGAAGGGAAGTGACTTGCCCAGTATCACACAACTGGTAAGTGTCTGAGGCAGGATTGGAACTCAAGTCTTCTTGACTCTAGGTCCAGTGCTCTATTCACTGGGCCACCGAGCTGCCTCTCATGTAGACTGCCTTTCCCTCTGTAAGACATGGTTGGTGGCTTCCCTTTCCCTGAAGGCCTTCAAGCAAAGAGACCCTTGTTCAGGCAGAAAGTATGGGTTAATAGCCACTGAAATCCCTTCTAAATCTGGGATTCTGTGATTTTGCAAAAGTCCCTTTCCAGTCTGGGTTGACTCAGCTGCCCCTCTGTAAAATGAGAAAGTGGCTCTTGGATAATTGCTGAGGTCCTGACAGTCTCTGATCCTCTGACATTAAGGTCATGGTGATCATAGCTGGTAAACTGCTGAGCAGAGATTTGGGGCACAAAGGTCTTCCTAGGAGCCCGTACTGCCAGGCCAAGACAATTGGACCGTGACTTCCTGGGAGCACGGCTGTCAGCAGTGGAATTAATCAGTCAAGTGTCTTGAGCACCTACTAGGTGCTCAGCGATGGGGCAGGTGCAATGCAGAACTTCCTCACAGGAGGTGGGGGTGGGGTGAGCTGGGATGGCTTCAGGGGCAAATGATCGAGTAAGGTTCAGAAATGTCCTTCCTTAGAAGCCTTTAGGAAAAGGGAGGAGACTCATTTGACTTCACTCTTCTGATCTCATCTAGGATCCCTCCATTGCTTCCCCCCCACTCCTGTTCTGTCAAGTGGCCCTGGACTTATCTTTCTCCCTGATTTTACCTTTTTTTCATCTCTTTATCCCAGAGGGAAGTAAAGTTAGACCTGTCTTTTGACTCTGGTACCTGTAGCAAAGGAGCCCCCTTCAGTGATCCTCTGGGGCTGTCTGATGCCGCCCCCCCCCCTTACTCAGGCTGTGCTTTATTTCCCTCAGGTCCTGAGGTGCAGAAGGGGAGCGGCTATGGCTATGCCCTTTGTCTAAGATGCCAGTGACTCCTGTCCAGGCCTCTGAGGGACTCTAGTTAAGCCTAGCTGGCTTCTCAGGAGCAACTACCTTTGCCACCACCACCAGCTCTCCAACTTTTCTTTTGGGAGTCTGGCAACTTCCAAGCCTTCTGGGGGCCGGGGGGGACGGACTTGGTTTTGCAATCCAGACTGATTGAGTGACATTTGTTTAAAGTCCAGCTATCAATCTGTTTTTGTGTCGCTTCCAGCAGGGGGAGAGGGGACAAGAGAAGAGCCAGCACATCTGGGCTGTTGCTGGAGGACTGCAGTGAGACCGTTCCCCCCAAATCTGGCCCCAGCTGCCAATCAAAGCTTTGGGATTCTACAGCTGGAGCAGAAGGGCCAGCATTGGGGCTGCTGTTCAGGCTACCATTTGGGCTGCCTGGGAGGCACTGAAGCCGAGTTGAATTACAACATGCCTACCCAGAGCCAAAAAACTGTGTACCCTACTGCCTTCCCCAATATCCTGAGAGTCAGAGAACGGGGGGAAGGGGGACCTTATCTGACAGAAGAGTAAACAGAGATGCAGAGAAGGGAGGGGTCTGGCTCAAGTGGACCCAGCTAGTTAGTATCAAGAACTGGGATGTAGGCCTTACTCGTCTCCTGGCTTTTCCTCTGGCCCTGGTTGCCCCATACAAATACTCAACACGAACCATTCAATCAGTGCCGCATATGAAGGGAAGGGATGCTGGAGGGGGCAGAGGGCAGTTCATTTGTACTCCCCTTTGGCTTGGGGCTCACTGACTCCATTTCCTCCCCCCTTTCCCTGCCCTTATGGCATCTCTGGGGGCATTAATGCCTCACCATGGGAAGAGCCACCACTAGCAATAAAGGGAAATTTGCCCTCAAATCAACCCTGGCTTTGTGGAAGAAGAGACCCTGGGATACTTAGAGGGCTGCTGAGAAAGCGGGTGTTGGGGGAGGGGCAAGGTGGGACCAACCAGGGACCAACCAGATCACATGGCATGTGGCTGCTGGAGAGGAGAAAGTGCAACCTGGTTTCTTTTTTTTTTCTTTAATTTTTTTTAGCCTGATTTCTTTTTAATTTATCTAATTATTCTTGCTAATTCCATTTTATGCTACCGAAGGAATGACAGTGTTGTCAAACTATGAGTGCCACACATTTCAAAATGTCATAATCTTTTAAAATGGTTATTTGAAAATTTTGAGTCCTTTAAATTTTGCTGCCCTGGAGCAAAGCTGTAATCACCCCACCCTGGTTATGGGTATGTCCACACAACTCTACACAGGGAAAGCTGAGGCCTGCTTTTCTCCTTCCCTGTTCCTCAGCCCTGATATGGTGAAGGCAAAGGTGTTCCCCCTTTACTCCCTGTGCCTGCCATATTGAGAAATAATTCAGTTACTAATGCCTCACTGATTAGAAGCTCCCTCTTCTCCAACCCTCTCCTCCCAGCTGAGGCTTTCTATTGAATCTCTGAAATCGGAATTTCTCTCTTTGATCTCCCCTAGCAGAACCCTTAGTCAAGCCCAATTTCCCCAATCCCCTCATGTGGCCTTTCCCAAGGTTCTTTGCCTTACCTCCTGTTTGGACCCCAGAGCCTCTCTGGGACACACTAGTCTGGGGCTTCCCCAAGCTTCAGTTCTATTCCAGAAGACAAACCCTGAAAGTGTGTTGGGCCTTAGCCCCACAGAGCCAAAGGAAGCCTAGCTCCTGCTCTCCCAGAATTTGCGGTTTGATAGGAGGAAATAACACCCTCGCTCATTTTCCTGACTGATCTCATCCCCTTTACTTCTGTGGTCCCCGGATCTCAAAGGTCCTTGTTTCTCCTGTGTCTCTGCCAGCTCCTGGAACACCCCTGGGCAAGCCTCAGCTCTTTCAAACTCCAAGGCCCAAACTGCTTGTCCAAGATTGGCCTGAACCTCCTTGGCTCCCACCTCTTCCCCCACCCACCCAAAAAACCCCATCTCCCACCCCCCTTCCAGGCTCTTGAAGGAGCCTTCCCTACCCCCACCCCTCCCATGCAGGCTAGCTGCCTTGTTTGCCTTGGAAGCCAGCAGGGCAGGTAAATAGCCCCAGGCAGCTCCCAGCTGTCACACTGAGCCCAAGACCAGGAGGAACCTGCTTGGGTGGGCGCGGAGAACGGGCCAGGCTGAGCCCAAGGAGCCTTCAGTTTGGGGGGGGGGGTGGTCAAGTTTCAGGGATGGACCATCTGTGGCTGGGGAAGGGGGATGAGATTAAGGGGCCTGAGAGGAGGCAGGCCAGGGGAGCCCAGAGCCTGGCAGGGGACTCACCTCACTCCTGTGTGAAGGAAGAGATCCGGTTGGCTTGACCCTGAGGCCAAGAGATGGGGTGCTGCTCCCTCCCCCACCTACATACATAGTTTCCCAACCACCTTCACCCCCTCCCCACACTGCTCACCTCCCTGGCACACTGACACAGTGGCTGCTGGTGCCCTTCCTCAGGGGTGTCTGCCTGGTGCCACTCAATGCTGCCAGTCTGGCCCAGCCCAGCTCAGGGGAGGGACGACAGAGTCCAGGGCCAGTGCAAGATATGGCCCACAGCCCAGGAGGAACCGGACAAATATTAACTAGCCCCACCTCCTCCCGTGTAAGCAATCCTCCATCAGGACAGAGCTATTGATGAGTGACCCTGGCCTCTCCTGCCTGGGCTATGACCAATCTTCTGGTGCCCTTCTGGGGCAACATCGCTGTCGGCCACATGGCCAACCTCAGGTCCCCCCTCCAAGCCTGGCTATCTGCCCTACTTGAATTTAAGCTGGACGGTGAGTAGAAGAGTTGTCCTTACCAGCTTTATTACCTTCTGGGCATCCCTGAGTACAGAACCCTTGGGCCTCACCTGGAGTCACCCTGCTTCTGGGGGCCTGAATTCAGAAGTCTGTGGCTTGGGCCCTAGGGGCCTTCGTTCAGATGCCTGGAGCCAGGGATCAGAGGCCTGGGTGGAGGGTCCAAGGGCCTAGGAGGTGGGGGTTGGACTGCAAAGCATGCTGTGAGCAGCACCCACTCTCGGAAATCATTAAGATAAATATAGATTGTCAACCAGTAACTGCCTTCTTAGCCCAGATCCAAGGTCCCACTGTTGAGGGTGCAGGCCAAAGCCCCCAAAGGCAGCCGAGCCTGGGCAGTCCCAGCCCATGGCCAGGGGAGATAGAACTTTAGACCTAGTCCCCTGGCTTTCACTCTCTGTTCCAGGTCAGGCTCCCTTTGGGGCTGGGCTCTTGGCCTGACCCTCTATTGGTCCAATTCAGGCACAGAGCAGAGCCCATGTGGTGGGCTGCAGAAGGCAAGGAGCCCACCCAGTGACTGGCCTGGATCTAGCTACCTCCCAGCCCTGCTCTCCTCTCACCCCACCCCATCCCCACACCCAAGGAAGATCGACTCCAGTGTAGACAGCAGGAAGCAAGCTCAGAAGTGAGCTGGGTAGGGCCCCACAGTGAGTGTGTGTGGCTGAGTGGAGGTGCCAAGGCCTAGAGCCGGTGTTGTTCCCACTATGCCTTTATCCAACTCCAACTGTGTGTATAGGCCTGGGATTTGCTGGGCCACAAAGAGGGGTCAAAGATCTTCCTGGAGACCTGAGACCGGCCTCTCATGATCATGGAGCATGGAATAGTGGATGGAGTTGAGAGGCTCAGGGATCTGGGTCCAGGATAAAGCTGGGAGGGGGGGGGGACTCTTCCCCCATGCAGCTGATCCTCAGGAAGCCACAGGCAGCCAGGAGCCCTGGGGGAGCTGCTCTCCCACTCCTCTTTGGCTATGCCCCACCCCTACCCCCCCAATTCTCCAGAGTCCCTCCCTGACTAAACCTGGGTTCCCTCATCAAACAATGACACCTAGAGTGCCCCACCCGGCCAGCACCAGGTTGTCAGAAAGTGCTTGGTCACCTGTCAGCTGTGATTCCTACAGAACCCAATGGGAATGGCCCAGCCTTCAAGGCCCTCCACTCTCACACACATATTTCACAGACTATCTAGACCCCAGGTGAACTGCTGCTCTTCTCATCTTGGCCCTCCCTCTCTTGCCTGCGTATACTTGCACATGCTGGCACCTCCCCTGGACTCCCTAAAGACCTTTCCTTGTGAAATTCTTCTCTTCTGTCAAGGCCCAGCTCAGGGGCCACCTCTCCATGAAGCCTGCCCTGGTTTCTCCTCCCCCAACCTAGAAGTGATGCCTCTCTCTTTCCAGCTCTTCTCTCTTTGTCCCTCACCTTGTCTATACATCACAATCTAACCTGCTCCACCCTTCCCCCAACAACCCCTCAAGGACAAGACCCATGGCATTTTTGGTTTCTGTATCCCTAGCAATGAGGCCAGGGCCTTGCTTGGAAGATGCTTCTTCAATCTTTCTTCTTTGTCTTTCTTTTTTCCTTCCTTTTCTTTCTTTTCTCCTTGCTTCCTTCCTTTCTTTTTTTCTTTTCTTTCCTGCTTATTTTCTTGCTTTCTTTATATCTCATTTTGGTTTTTTGTTTTTAAGGCAATTGGGGTTAAGTGACTTGCCCAGGGTCACACAGCTAGTAAGTGTCAAGTGTTTGGTCTGAGGCTGGATTTGAACTCAGGTCCTCCTGACTTCAGGGCCAGTGCTCTATCCACTGTGCCACCTAGCTGCCCCTTGCTTTCTTGATTGAATAGCAAATATGTCACATATTCTATGTATAGATTCTAAATATATTGATTTAATAATAATAATCACTAGCATTTCTATGGCACTTAAAGGTTTGAAAACCCCTACATTTGTGATCTCATCTTTCAAAAAAAGGAGAGATTATTGGGGTTGGACTAGTTGGGGAAGGTTTTAAGGAAGAAGTGACTCCTCAAAGAATGGGTGCTTGGATATTAAAAACACTAGAAAACATAGGTATAAATGGAGTCTTCCTTAAAATAATAAATAACATTTATCTAAAACCTTCAGCAAGCATTATATGTAATGGGGACAGGCTAGAAGCATTTCCAATAAGATGAAAGAAGGGGGTGAAAGAAGGATGTCCATTATCACCACTATTATTCAACATTGTACTGGAAGCCTTAGCTTTAGTAATAAAAGAAGAAAAAGAAATTGAAGACATTAGAATAGGCAAAGAAGAAACAAAGCTATCACTCTTTGCAGATGACATGATGATATACTTAGAGAATCCTAGAGAATCAAGTAAAAAGCTACTTGAAATAATAAACAACTTTAGCAAAGTTGCAGGCTATAAAGTAAACCCACACAAATCATCAGCATTTCTATATATTACCAACAAAGCCCAACAGCAAGAGATAGAAAGAGAAATCCCATTTAAACTTACTGTAGACATAAAATATTTAGGAGTCTACCTCCCAAAACAAACCCAGGAACTCTATGAACACAATTACAAGACACTTTTCACACAAATAAAATCAGATCTAAATAATTGGAAAAACATCAGTTGCTCATGGGTAGGCTGAGCTAATATAATAAAAATGACAATCCTACCTAACCTAATTTACTTATTCAGTGCCATACCAAACTACCAAAAAATTGTTTTATAGAGTTAGAAAAAATAATAACGAGATTCATTTGGAAAAACAAAAGGTCCAGAATATCAAAGGAGCTAATGAAAAGAAATGCAGGGGAAGGTGGCCTAGCCATTCCAGATCTTAAATTGTATTATAAAGCAGCAATCATCAAAACTGCTTGGTACTGGCCAAGAAATAGAGCAGTGGATCAGTGGAATAGGTTAAATATGCAAGACACAGTAGTCAATGACTATAGTAATCTATTATTTGATAAACCCAAAGACCCCAGCTTCTGGGATAAGAACCCACTCTTTGAAAAAAACTGCTGGGAAAACTGGAAATGAGTATGGCAGAAACCCAAATCTCACACCATATACCAAAATAAAGTCAAAATGGGTTCATGACTTAGATATAAAGGCTGATACCATAAGTAAACTGGGAGAACAAGGAATAGTTTACCTATCAGATCTATGGAGAACAGAAGAATTCATGACCAAACAGGAGATAGAGAACATTATGAAAAGCAAAATGGATAATTTTGATTACATTAAATTGAAAAGTTTTTGCACAAACAAAGCCAATGCAACTAAGATTAGAAGGAAGGTAGAAAATTGGGAAAGAATTTTTACAACCAGTCTCTCTGATAAAGGCCTCATTTCTAAAATATATAGAGAATTAAGACAAATTTGTAAGAACACAAGCCATTCCCCAATTGATAAATGTCCAAAGGATATGAACAGACAGTTCTCAGATGAAGAAATTAAAGCCATCTATAGTCATATGAAAAAATGCTCTAAATCACTCGTAATTAGAGAAATGCAAATCAAAACAACTCTGAGTTACCACATCACACCTATCAGATTGGCCAACATGACAAAACAGGAAAATGATAAATGTTGGAGAAGACGTGGGAAAATTGGAACACTAATACATGTCTGGTGGAGTTGTGAAATGATCCAACCATTTTGGAGAACAATTTGGAGCTATGCCCAAAGGGCTATAAAAATGTGCATACCCTTTGACACAGCAATAGCACTTCTAGGGCTATATCCCAAAGAAATCACACAAATGGGAAAGGGACCCACATGAACAAAAATATTCATAGCAGCTCTTTTTGTGGTGGCAAAGAATTGGAAATTGAGAGGATGCCCATCCATTGGGGAATGGCTGAACAAGTTGTGGTCTATGAATGTAATGGAATACTATTGTGCTATAAGAAATGATGAACAGGCTGACTTCAGAAAAACTTGGAAAGACTTGTATGGTCTGATGCTGAGTGAAGTGAGCAGAACCAAGATAACTTTGTACACAATAACAGCCACGTTGTGTGATGACTAATATTGTTAAACTGAACCCTTCTCAGCATTACGAGGATCTAAGACATCTCCAGAGGCCTCGGGATGGAAAATGTTGCCCACATCCAAAGAAAGAATTATGCGCATCGAATTGCTATCACTTACTTTTACTTTCTGTTGAGTTTTGTTTCATCTTTCTGATGGTTCCTCCTATTGGTTTTGATTTTTACTTACAACTTCACTAATGTGAAAATATGTTTAATGGGTATGTAAATGTAAAGCCTATATCAGATTGTGCGCCATCTTCGGGAGGGTGGGGGGAGGAAGGGGGAGAAAAATTTTCAACTCAAAAGCATATGGAAGTGATTGTTGATAAATCAAAATAAATTAATAAAATTTTAAAAAAATTTAAAAATTTAAAAAAAGATAAAAAGAAAGAATGGGTGCTTTGAATAGGTGGGATGAAGGAAGAGCATGAGCAAAGGTATGGAGGCATGCCTGGGGCAATCAAAATCATAGAATTTTTGAGTTGGAAATAGCCTTAGAAGCCATAAGTGACTTGCCCAAGGTCACTCAGGTAGTAATTAGCAGGAACAGAATTTGAACTCAGGTCCTCTGACTCCAAATCCCATGCTCTGTCCCTTGTACCATGGGGACAATGGGGGAGTAAACCAGTTTTCCTGAATTAGGATATTTCTGTTGGGGAGGAGTAGAAAATAAGGCTGGAAAGGTAAGTTGAGGCAAGATTTTGGAGAACTTTGAATGGTAGGCCAGTA